GCTTTCCACTTGCCCGATAGTGCGAGGCTCGCGCAATGCGATGATCGAGGCGCCGAAGCTTGACGCTCCGAAGGCGAGCGAAAGCGCGAAAGCACCGAGCAGACCCACGGACGCCTCCACAACGGTCCACCGGTTTCAGCACGCGCAGAGCGCAAGCGCGCATGCGCATAGGCAGCGGTTTCGTTTTAGAAACGCAAAAAACAGAAAAAAGCAAAATTTTGAGAGTGAGATGTTGACATGAACTTTTAAAAAAATATATTATATTTTTAGGAATACGTAATTTGTGTTTAGTAAAATAATATGCAGTCATAACTAAAGTTGAATGAGGTTTGATTCATTATTGTTTTGTTTAGTTTTTAGTAATGAGCGCCTCCGACCACGCGAGCGCTGTCATACACCTCTATGGTGGCGCCATCCGTGTTCGAGCCGCGCAACTCGCTCTGTGTCCGGAGGTTGCAGAAATGCTCGCGTTGTGTTGTGTGACGTCAGAGCTCCAATGTTGCCACCGAAAACAGCGTTTACGCTAGAGTGCGATTGGAGCAGTATAAATTCAATTACTCATGCAGAGGTGCATATAAAATTCAGATATTGCACGTACGATGCGTTTCGAGGCAAGGACAACGATATTCAATTGTTTTCTCGAACACAAAATTTGACCGGACAATCCCTTTAACTCGCATTGAACGTATTGCGTCAATGGTTCAACTTTTCTGTTTTTAAGAACTAACTGGCGAAGGCAAATTTTTTATTAAATCCAGACATGACAGGAAACAACTACAACAATTATGTGACTGAATAATTCGGTCGAATAATTGTGGTAGTTGTTCCTTGTCATGTCTGGATGAAAAAAAAAACTAAAAACCAATTTGCCTTTGGGCGTTCGTTCTTGAAAACAAATAAAGTCATACAATTGACGTTTTCGGCGTCTCTAAACCACTCTCAACTCTTCCACCGTCTTCTGAGTCACGTGCTCAGTGACGTATTTCCGGGTGCACTGAGCGCAAGAACCTTTGGGTTCTTTTCCAGAGCCTACAGCGCGCGCGTCCTCTGCTTGCGATTCATATGGTGACCTTGAAGGTTGGTCCGAGCGGTGTGGAGAGGGAGAGAAAGAAAGGAGGGAAGGAGGCGAAAAGCTTTCTTTTCCGGAAAGAAGCCCGACTGGCATAGTAGCAAGGGGAGGAATAGTCAAAGGAAAAGTCAACAGGGATAGAAATGCTCAGGGAGGAATAGGTTTTGTTTTTCCCCTCGGGAGTAGATTGCGCCACTAAAACTAAATATTGTACAGCTGTGTCGATGATATAAAGTTATTGACTTATTTACAAACGTTGAAAGAATATTTATAAAATATAGTATTTGATTGAGCACATAATGTCACATCTTGCTAACTTATTACATTGCACCCAGGTTTGCGTCATGCCTTATTTGCCATCGACGCCACCCCGAGGCTGCAAATCGCGAAATATTCGTTATTTGCTTTGATATTACGCTTCGTAATATGGATACAGTAGACTCTCACTAATTAAAACTCCAGGAAGCCACAAGTTTTGTTTCATTTATCAGAAATTCATTTAAATAATATACAAACTACTATTATAATTTTCCATACGAATGGCTTCACATACAAAACAGATCGCTGATGATTTCCTCTACATAGGCCAACTGATCATGAGCAGGTATGCCAGACATAAAACAATTGTGAAATGCTTGACATAAATTTATTTATTCCTCAAAAATGTTGTTTATAGTGAACTGTTTAGACAGCGCATGACAACTGAAAACGAAACCTCGGTTTGTTCATCGGGCCAACATGTTGTCTAATGTGGACTATTAAGCCGGGCACACATGAGTGATGGAAATGGGCACTGAGTGGCAGTTTTCATAGCAACTTGCGCTTATGCCGTAACGTGGACCTAGTTGCTATGTGAATTTCTGCGTGGTACCCGTTCTCTTAACTCATGTGTGCACTGCTTGAGCCCGGTGAGTGCGCTTCTTACTGAGCACCAGTGTGCTGTGAAGAAGCAACACACCCTGAAATAAGGCTCGTTCACACAGACCCGTTTTCTTACGTTACGTTACAAAAAGTCACCGGGAAATCTGTGCTCCGTATTACCGTGGCCACCAATTCAAGGAGATAGCCTGGCACGCGACATTCCAGACACAAATGTTTCGGTGGCTTAGACGTAACGTAAGAAAACGGTGCTGTGTGAAAAGTAGAACAGAGCTCAACTCCTTACGTTACGTTACGACGAGCCTTGTGTCCCTGGTTGCCAGGGTAACTCCTCATCCCAGCTCGTCGTCACCGAAACATTCGTGTCTCGACTGTCGCGTGCCAGGCTATCTTCTTCAATTGGTAGCCAAGCTTCATACGAAGCACAGATTTTCCGGTGACTTTTCCTAACGTAACGTAACGCAACGTTAGAAAACGGTGTTGTGTGAACCAGCCTATACGCGTTGTGGGCGTTGTCTGTCTGCAGTGCAACCTTGCTCGGAAATACGAGCACCCAACGGGGCCGCGGATATAGAAAGTATGAATTAAACGAAAACACCGTTTCAACTAAGCGCTGATGAATGCATTAAAAACATTGCGGGACAACCCAAATTTTAAAATTTGTTTAAATTAACCGGATGTACGAAATAGCCAAGGTTGAATTATCGTGAGACTACTGTATTTCAAAGAATCAGGTGGGTTTTCCGCGCCATTTTTGGACGATAAAGGTTGTAAAAAATTAAAAACTGCAAACTCTTTCGAGGCCAAAATTATTGCAAGGCCCCTTTAACCGCACAATAATATGTCGAAACAAAACAACTCGCGAATTTTTCGGAAGCGCCTTGTAATATTAGTTTCGGGGACCGCGGCATTAGAAACCTGTCGGTCATTTTGCTACCTTGTGTTTATATACGAATATTGAGCAAAGACATATTAGTTAGACGGTGTTGTGTGGTGTGTGCCACGCCCTGGCATAGCGTAACTTTCAGTACGTTCTCTTCTTCCTTTTGTGTGTAAATTCAGTTGCCACTCTGCGCTTGCGTGTCGTGCATGTTTTTTTCCTTTGTCCTTGTAATCAAATTCAAACGATCTAAGCCAAAATACCGGGAAGCGATATATCTTTGTCTTTTTGTGCGCTGTACTGTTCACCTGCCTTCATCGATTGAAATAAAAAACACGTTATGATAATATTCTCTAAAAATGGAACCGCGCATCCCGTCATCAACCTGAAACGTGGTGATCGATTCAGACGTGAGAAGCTGCAGCTCCGTAAATTCGAACAGTGTCTTCACCGGGGACATGACCACCCCGGACAGGCCAGGCCGAACAGGGTTAGGCCGAGGACTGCGCTGCGCCCATAGTTGTCGGCCGCTGAGCCCATGACGGGCAGGAGCACCGATCCGCTGTGTAAGTACACGATCCGGAGCGCCCGGAGCAGCCACTTCCTGTCGCAGACGAGGCTGAAATCTTTCACGACGGTGGTGCCAACCTCGCTGTCGTAGTCCCAGCGGTTACACCTGACCTCGGTCTTATTGTCCGCGGGCGTTGGCATCGGCGGTTCGTAGCGGGTGCAGCTGCTGAATCGTCCGTCCACGTCCGTGGGGATGCTCGTGTTCTTCCACTCGTCCCTGGATAAGCCGGCGTACTCGTCGGGGGGCTTGCACCAATGGGCCATAGGACGCGACATGACGAGGAGCGTCTGGCTGTGGACTACATTCATAAAGAACGAGACGATAGAGCAGAGCAGCGCCATCCTCTGGAACTGGCCATAGCCGTAGACGTGGATGTCCTCTTCAGTGGAAGGAACTCTTGGCGACTCGCTGCGGATTTTGGCCAACTCGGTGTTTCGGTTGGCGAGCTTGTTGGCCTTCAGGCTTGCCATTTTTTTGGAAGGGGAACTTCGGCGACTTTAACGCAACCGTCTTTTTCGCCAAATATCCGTAGATTGCAGCCGATGGAACGTACAGGGAGTATTCACTGCCGGCCATAGCTGTGTGCGTGAATGCTGAGCGCGTGCTGATGGCGAGTTTCCACAGTTCTTTTGCAACGTGCATTCCGCACCATCAAGAGTGCCGGTCTTAGCATTGATGTGAGCTTGTTCAGAGCATGCGCTCTAGACAGCACCCACAAATATGGCGTCCAGTGAAGCAAGCTGGGCGACTGGCCGCCGCCATGTCTCTGCTCGAGCAGGCACGCCCGTGCGATTACGAGCTTGCGAAAGCTACGTTCACCCGCGCGTTGCACGCGCTTGCACGCATGGGGCACCACTTGTGGCGCCATGCTTGCAATCAGTGCTTGCAATTGTCTATAGGTCGTCGAGATTAGTGCCACTAAATAAGCTACGCTTCAGAGTAACGACACTTGGCCATATTGTGTCTTAAAATCAAGGTTGCCAGTTATCTGAAGCTTTATCTGCAATCACAGGAAATGTTTTTCCGCCCTCCACAAATGTTTAAACCGTTCGCGACAGAGCAAAGCAATATTACATGACCTTCCTAACACCGAATCTAATGCTGAGGAAGTCGCACTTTTGAATCATGACGATCGGCCGTTGCGTCTGTTCTGCATAGGAGCCAAAATGGCGGCGCCCACAACAATGTCGGGGAACGGAGTGCCGATACTCTAAGCGCAGCTTATTTAGTGGCTCTAGTCGAGATAGTTGAGACACGAAGAACGAGCCTTCGCGTGCGCTCGTGCAAACCTCCTTGCATTTCTTTTTATCGACAATGATGATCTTGAGGTATGACGTACACATTCTACTAGCGTTTTTGTTTCCATAATTTAAATGTGTTTATTAGATCATAATCAGTGTATGAAAAAGACACCAACAGTGACCGCAGAACGCATTGACGCCCGCAAATTTCTAATGTTCTTGAGCCACCAAAAGCACTTAAACCAAAAACTTGCACCACAAAAAAAAAAGCTTACTGTTATGTCTGCGGTGCAAGGAGTGGCCAGACGAAGGAAGGACTGCGAAACAGCTTTATTTCCGCAGAGGCCGGCAGCGATCTGGCTGCGCGTATGACGGTGCTCTTCTTATAGAGCGCCCGGTGACGTCAGTACTATGCGTACTGCTGATAGCAACGGCAGCGGCCTCTAGCACTTCCTCCACCGCAATTTGGAACGTCATGAGGCTTCATAGCGATCGGGGGGTCTTCTCTGGCGTTGTGGGTATCGCCGAGGCGCAGCGTTAGTGGGGGTGACGGGCACCGTTTGTCTTGCGGAGACAGTAGACGGAGGTGGTACGTCGGCTTCAGACGCAGGATAGATGGTGTCGGTATCGTCCTCCCCCACAAGGGACGGCGCTGTCACTGCAGTAGACGCTGAGCGCAGGTGGTCCTTGTGTCGCCTCCAAGTGCGGAGTCCATCCGGTGTCCGCACCTTGACCACGTAGGACACTGGTCCCGTCCGCTGCAGTACTGTTGCGTGGAACCATGTGGGGCCGCTCCTGAAATTACGCACGAACACTTCATCGTTCACTTCGAACACACTGTTAGCACCCCTGCGCCGTGAAGTCTGTTCAAACTGACGTGCTCGGATAGTACGATCCAGAGCCGGCTTCAGTGCATCCAACCGTGTTCGTGGCCGACGACCCAAAAAAAGAAAAGATGGGGTTTCTTGAGTCGTCGCATGCGGAGTGTTGCGATATGTCATTAAGAACTTTGACAAGGTTTCCTCCATACTTTCAGTTGCAGGGCCTTTTCGTAGTGCGTTCTTTAGGGTTTGCACAAATCTCTCTGCGAGTCCATTGCTGCTGGGGTGATATGCAGAAGTGAGAACCTGTCGAACTGCCTGTTCTTTAAGGAACTCTTTAAACTCGGACGATGTAAACTGCGCACCGTTGTCACTAACCAGAGCTTCTGGTGCCCCATACCGAGCGAATAAATCGCGCAGTTTTGTTATCGTCGCTTCTGCGGTGGTAGACGTCATGACAAAAACCTCCGGCCATTTAGAATGCGCGTCTACAATGACTAGTAGCATACGACCGCGAAGAGGGCCCGCAAAATCTACATGTACCCGTGACCACGGTTGTGTCGGCCATGACCAAGGGTGCAATGGTGCCTTTTCTGGCATGTGGCGCTGCTGTTGGCATGCCGTGCAGTGTCTCACTTGGTTCTCCAAGTCCGTTTCCAAGGAGGGCCACCATACGTAGCTTCGGGCGAGTGCTTTGCTCCGCACTATTCCTGGGTGTCCCTGGTGTAGCTCCTCCAGGACCAGCTGTTGAAGTTTCGGGGGCACGACGACTCTCATTCCATGCATCAGGCACCGCTCGTGGACTGTGAGTTCCCTGCGTCTGTCAAAATAGGGCTTCAACACTTTATCATCAAGATGTGATGGCCATCCTTTCTTGGTGAAGTCTACGACCAAGCTGAGGACGGGATCACGCTCTGTATGACGCGCGATGTCCCTACTGGTGACTGGTAGAGATGCCAATCGCAGCGTATAAAACGTCTCGTCGTGACTGTCGTCTACTTCTGTGGACTGCAACGGAAGTCGTGAAAAACAGTCCGCGTCCGCGTTCTCTGCGGACGTCCTGTAGGCAAGTTTATACTTGTAGGCTAACAGAGTTACCGCCCACCTCTGCAGTCTTGCGGCGGCTATTGCCGGGATCCCACTCTTTGGCCCAAGGATCGCTTGCAAAGGTTTATGATCAGTAATCAACGTAAACTCCCGACCATAAATGTAGAAGTGGAATTTCTTGACGCCAAAGATTAGGGCGAGCGCCTCCTTTTCAATCTGGCTATAGTTTTCCTCAGCCTTTGATAATGTTCGGGAAGCGTAGGCAATTGGCCTTACCGTGCCATCTTTCATGACGTGCGACAGCACAGCGCCGAGACCATACGCAGACGCATCGCAGGATAGCTGCAGCGGGCGTGCCGGGTCGTAGTGTGCCAGCACCTCCGTCGAAGACAAGATTTCCTTGATGGCTTGGAAGGCATCTTGACATTTCCGATTCCAGCACCAGGGAGCATCCTTCTGTAGTAACCTGTAGAAAGGCTTTGCCAGCGTTGCTAGCCGTGGCGTGAATTTTCCATAGTAATTTATCAGTCCAAGCAGTGAACGCAACTGTGCGATGTTAGTAGGCGCTGGGGCATGCAGCAACGCTTGAACTTTTTCCTCGCTTGGCTTGACGCCGGTCTCGCTGATAATGTGCCCCAGATACTGCAGGCTTTCTTTGAAAAATTCACATTTTTCACGCTTGACGCGAACACCTTTCTGCTGAAGTGTACAAAACACGGCTTCAAGGTTCCTGAGGTGTTCTTCAGCGGTTGCTCCCGTGACGAGAATATCGTCAAGGTAGCATATGACACCCGGGAGTCCTTTAAGTATGTTGTCCATAATGCGCTGGAACAACGCGGGCGCAGACGCTACTCCGAAAGGGAGTCTGTTCACCGCAAAAAGCCCTTTGTGCGTGTTTAGTGTGAGAAGTTTTTTTGAGTCCTCCGACATCTCTACCTGCTGGTATGCCCTGCTAAGATCTAGCTTGGAAAAGTATTTGCCTCCGGCGAGCGCAGCTAGTATTTCCTCAAGTTTGGGCAGGGGGTACTGCTCCGTGTCTAGGATAGGGTTCAACGTTGTTTTGTAATCCCCGCACACACGTATGGTGCCGTCCTTTTTAACTACCGGTACAATAGGCGTAGCAAACTCACTGGTTGACACTTGCGTAATGACGCCCATTTGTTCAAGCTTCTGCAACTCTTCCTCTACGGCCGACCGGAGTGCGTGGGTTCGAATCCCATCCTCGTCGCCAGTTGTTATGTCTGCGGTGCAAGGAGTGGCCAGACGAAGGAAGGACTGCGAAACAGCTTTATTTCCGCAGAGGCCGGCAGCGATCTGGCTGCGCGTATGACGGTGCTCTTCTTATAGAGCGCCCGGTGACGTCAGTACTATGCGTACTGCTGATAGCAACGGCAGCGGCCTCTAGCACTTACTCTGCAGAATGACACTTCAGATATCCTGGTGTGTAAAATTATTGTTCTAAGTTATTTGAAGCTTTATCTGAAATCTCAGGAAAACGGTTTTGCGTTCCCCATGAAGTCCATTTCGCAACGCGACGCTGCTTTTGCTCACATACCTTTCGGATCAATAGGGTCTACAGTGTTCTAGAGGGTGTAGTGGCAAGAGCGGCGCCCGCTTACAATGAAGCGCGTGAAGACGGTCGATGTAGATACCGCGAGTGGCGCTGGAGTTCTGTGCCCTAGGAGGATTAATGGCACGTGTGCGATGAACGAAGAACACGACGAGGGTGACGCGGTACGCTTCTCCAAAATGTAGCACCGTAGAACTTCTTTCGCAGCTATTAAGCCTGCAGTCCAAGTGATAGCGTTGCTGAACGATGTGTCAATACGAGGGGGGGGGGGGGGGGGCGGAGTCGCTATTAATTAAATAATCTCCCTCAAAACACGGGAATATTTCAAGTAGAGGATAGCACACACTCTAGAGGCATTAGTCCAAAGGCAGAGAGGGGATCGGTGGCCGAGTGGTCTAGCGCACACCAGCTCGGAGCACGTGGAGCGAAAGCTCGCGCTGCAGAACCCAGGGATCCTGGGTTCGAGCCCCACCCCTGCCCGTTTCGATCTGGATGAGCATCGTACCGGCGTGCGGTCGTGTATCACTACTGCGTGATGCACGTTAAAGACCCCAGGCTAGCGGCTGTACCGCACTGGCTAAATTGCTCATCTACAGCTGGGAGACCCGTCGCCCCTGTGAGGCAGACCAAGTTCTAGGCTGTATAAACATACACACAACCCAATTTCTTTTTCCAAAGGCAGAACTACAATTTACTATACTTCGTTTCACCTTATGTTGTACCGCAGCAAAGGCTAGAAACGCGAGCTCATAGCGTTGGCAGCTGCTCTTAATTCACGAGAGCGTGTGCCGACGAGATGTGCCCCAGAGCAAAGAGCTCGCGCTTGTAGCCTTTCCTGCGGTACATCATAAGGTGAAACAGAGTATACAGAACAACATTAGCAGTTGTTTCGCACCGCGAAAAGCTCCAGTCAAACCACAGTAGTAAGCGCCTAACAGCGCTGATGATGGGGCTGACGGGGACGCGCTCCTAGGGCACAAAACAGCAGCGCCATGGTGTCGTCTACGCGCAAAATCTTCACGAAGCGGCCGCCGCTCTTGTCACTACAACGCCCTCTAGAACACTGTAATAGGGTCTATTTACTGGACGCCATATTTGCGGGTGCTGTTTAGAGCGCATGCTCAGAATGAGCTCACATTAATAGGCTGCTAAGACCGACAACCTTGACGGTGTGGAGTGCACGTTCCAAAATAACTGTGGAAGTTCGTCATCAGCACGCGCTCAGCAATCGCGCACACAGCTATGGCCGCCAGTGAATACGCCCTATAGCGTGGAGAATTTCGTTTTCTGACTTCCACAATTGAACACGTAAGTGATGACGTCACGACATGGAACTGTGCATAAGAACATAAGGTAAGGGAAAGGGGGAAGAAAGCTGACGGAATGATTAAAGGGCAACTCCGCTTCATTGTTGATATTTAGAAAACTATGTAGCCCTCTTCAGTATCATATTGGAAGACCCCATGTTACATATTGCGATCTAATTGCGTCCATATATTTAATAAACTGGCCAGCAAACCTTCAAGTGAGCCAAGTCGGCAAAATCTGCCAACTCTGGCGTGCGACGTGAGGCGCAATCGTCAGCGCAGTAGTCAATGCGACGGAGTTGGAGCGGCCAACGTTGAGCCACTACGTCAGAGGCATGACTACGTCATTCTCACGTTCTGTTTGTTTTTACTTTTTAGAGTGAAATTGAACGATGACATCATGAGTTTCTCCTCCCAGTGTTGGCTGAACGGCGTCCACCTGACCACCGTAACGCGGATACGCTAGTTTGCGCTGCCCTACGCGCTTATCGGTCTGTTTCTTCACTCCCCCTCTCCTCTTTCGTCTTCTCCACTTCCCCCTCTCCCCCGGGGCCATCACCGTCCACGCCATGCGAAGCGACCTGCCGGCGTCGCGTGTCCTGTCCCTCGCCCCCCCGAACGTCACAAGACCACGTGGTTCGACGTGACGTGGCCATTCCTCTGACGACACGAGACCAATGTTGCGTGACGCTACTGAAGTTTCGGTTTCGGTATCAGCTTATGTTTAAATTAAGATTCCAGAAATATATTTCACATTTTGCGAATCCGAAGACGTAGAGCTGTTTAGTAGTGTTTTGTGAAATGCAATCACATGTAAGCCTAAATTTTTCGGAATTGAGCGGAGTTGCCATTTAAAGGGCAACTCCGCTTCATTTTTGGTTTTGAATGCAGTCCTCTTCAGTATCGCCTAGAAAGACCACACGTGAAATCTTACGACGCAGTTCTATCTAAATGTTTCTTAAACGGTCCTGCAAATTTTGCAACTCGCCAAGTTGCCGAAATCGGCTGACTTGAGCGGGCGAATTCAGGCGCAACCAACAGCGCAGTCAAGGCTACGGCATGGGCGGAGCCAACATTGAGCTAAACGCCATCTACATGGCCCCCTTTTGCTTGTTTTCACTTCTCCGGGCGAGCGTAGCGCATGACGTCAGCAACGTTGCCTTTCGGCGCTCAGCAGTGTCCACGTGATTGGCGTAACGCGCCTGCGCAGCGCGTTTCTTGGGAGCCGCCCGGCCGCCCGCCGTGGTCCCGCCGTTACCGCCGTCTTCCGCGTCACAACCGCAGTCGTCGTCTCACCGATTGTGATTATTGTCTCTCGGAGTTTCGTCCACACTACGGACACCACGTGCGCGCACACTTATGCCGCAGTTGTGCAGACGTCGTCGAATGCCGTAGACACCAAAACGTGGCGAAGAGTGCGGCGCAGACGACACTCGCGCCTGCCAAACGCTCGCCCCAATCCCGCCCGTCGTTGGGCCGAGGATCACGTGACATCTCGTACCACGTGATGGCCATGTACTTGGCGACCCAAGGCCAATGTTGCCGGGCGGAGCCGAAGTTTCGGTTTCGATTTCCGCTCGTGTTTAAAATCAGATTTAAAAATATATATCCCATTTTTCGCGAAGCAAACGACGTAGTGTGTTTTAATAGGGCTTTTTAATTCGAAATCAATCATTATCCCGAAATCTTCGGAATTGAGCGGAGTTGCCCTTTAAGAGGAGATAAGAAAAACTCTCCCCTCCAGCATCCCGTCTGCTTTCCCCTCTGCGTCTTTCCTTGCCCTATGTTCTTAGCCTGTAACTATGATCATGATCATGCCATTCATTATTGGAAACAAAGGTAACTGTTCAAGAAATACTTTATTGGAAAGCAAATGCTATACATGATTTCTTTCAATGTCTGCACCAGACGTGCAGGCTGTCTTCGCATCTTGGCCAGCACTAGTCCGAATAGTCAGCGGGATCTAGAAAAAAATCAATTCCATAAGCACTAATAATAAAAACAGGTTATGTGAGAAACTTACCATCATGTCGAACATCTCCGGCTTTTGACTGCAGCTTTTTTAGTTTCTCTCCAGCGTGGTACAGCCACACTGTGACGATGGTCTCCACGTCAGCTTTGTTTGCACACTCAACATTTGCTATCACTGCCCCTGAAACATTGGTTTGTGATGACAGTCACAGAAGGAAAATATGATGGTCTAGAAAAAAATCAAAATTAATGTCAATATAAATAGATGTTCAGGAAAAAGATGTCCCTTAGTGCGAACGCGTAAACATACATGGCTATTTGACCCACACAGCAAAAGTTTCGCCTATTTAGAAAGAAATATGTTCAGAAAATAGTATCATTCTCCCACTCCCGAGTAAGGTTAGTTTGTCGGTTTCCATGTAAAATCAGTCTTAATTAATTTTACCGTCAGGGCAAGAATATTCAATATAATCTGCATTTGACGTTAGCTCTGAACCCGACAAGGCCCTTGTGGAATATTTTACATAACTAGTTTAGTGAATAACTTAGATAACTCACGCACGACAAACAAAAGTGTCTTACTGTAAATGATGCCTGCCACATTAAGATCCCGGAAATTTCCTAGCCTTTCTGGCGTACCCAGCTGAAATTGACAGCCACTTTCTGGCTAAGCAGAACCTCCAAGATGTTCCTGGTAGCAGACCCCATGCATCTGCCACCATCACCAGTGAACTGAAGCACCTAAAAAGAATAGATTGGACCACATGGTCCAATCTATTCTTTTTAGAAATATATTCTAGAAATATATTTCTAGAAATTTCTAGAAATATAACAAGATTGAGAATCCTTCATACCGGAAGCATTCTTTTCCTTTCATCGGAAGGTAGACTCTGTGATATACTTCTTCCTCAAATCGT